GATTAGTTGACAATAGGTGCGTGGGTTTATCTCTGGGCTTTCTATCCTGTTCCATTGATCTATATTTCTGTTTTTGTGCCAGTACCATATTGTCCTGATTACTGTAGCTTTGTAGTATAGTCTGAAGTTAGAGAGTCTGATTCCTCCAGCTCCACTTTTTTCCCTCAAGACTGCTTTGGTGTCTTTTGTGTCTCCATACAAATTTTAAGATTTTTTTGTTCTAGTTCTGTAAAAAATGCCACTGGTAATTTGATAGGGATTGCATTGAATCTGTAGATTGCTTTGGGTAGTATAGTCCAATATTTTCACAATCTTCCAATCCAAGAACCTGGTATATCTCTCCATCTGTTTGTGTCATCTTTGATTACTTTCATCAGTGTCATATAGTTTTCTGAGTACAGGTCTGTTACCTCCTTAGGTAGGTTTATTCCTAGGTATTTTATTCTTTTTGTTGCAATGGTGAATGGGATTGTTTCCTTAATTTCTCTTTCTAGTCTTTCGTTTTTAGTGTCTAGGAATGCAAGAGATTTCTGTGCATTAATTTTGTATCCTGCAACCTTACCAGATTCATCGATTAGCTCTAGTAGTTTTCTGGTGGCAACTTTAGGATTCTCTATGTATAGTATCATGTCATCGGCAAACAGTGACAGTTTTACTTCTTCTTTTCCAATTTGTATTCCTTTTATTTCTTTTTCTTCTCTGATTGCCATGGCTAGGACTTCCAAAACTATGTTGAATAATGGTGGCGAGAGTGGACATCCTTGTCTTGTTCCAGATCTTAGAGGAAATGCTTTCAGTTTTCACCATTGAGAATGATGTTTGCTGTGGGTTTGTCATATATGGCCTTTATTATGTTGAGGTAGGTTCCCACTATGCCCACTTTCTGTAGAGTTTTTATCATAAATGGGTGTTGAATTGTGTCAAAAGCTTTTTCTGCATCTATTGAGATTATCATATGGTTTTTATTCTTCAATTTGTTATTATGGTGTATCCCATTGATTGATTTGTGGATATTGAAGAATCCTTGCATCCCTGGGGTAAATCCCACTCGATCATGGTGTATGATCCTTTTAATGTGTTGTTGGATTTTGTTGATGATTTTTGCATCTATAATCATCAGTGATATTGGTCTATAATTTTCTTTTTTTGTAGTATCTTTGTCGGGCTTTGGTATCAGGGAGATGGTGGCCTCACAGAATGAGTTTGGGAGTGTTCCTTCCTCTGCAGTTTTTTGGAATAGTTTGAGAAGAGTGGGTGTTAGCTCTTCTCTAAATGTTTGATAGAATTCACCTGTGAAGCCATCTGGTCCAGGACTTTTGTTTGTCGGAAGATTTTTAATCACAGTTTTAATTTCATTACTTGTGATTGGTTTGTTCATATTTTCTATTTCTTCCTGGTTCAGACTTGGAAGGTTATACATTTCAAAGAATTTGTCCATTTCTTCAACGTTGTCCATTTTATTGGCATATAAGTTGCCTGTAGTAGTCTCTTAGGATGCTTTGTATTTCTGCAGTGTCTGTTGTAATTTCTCCTTTTTCATTTCTAATTTTATTGATTTGAGTCCTCTCCCTCTTTTTGTTGATGAGTCTGGCTAAAGGTTTATCAATTTTGTTTATCTTCTCAAAGAACCAGCTTTTAGTTTTATTGATCTTTGCTATTGTTTTCTTTGTTTCTATTTCATTTATTTCTGATCTGATCTTTATGATTTCTTTCCTTCTACTAACTTTGGGTTTTATTTGCTCTTCTTTCTCTAGTTCCTTTAGGTGTAAGGTTAGACTGTTTATTTGAGATTTTTCTTGTTTCTTGAGGTAGGCTTGTATTGCTAAAAACTTCCCTCTTAGAACTGCTTTTGCTGTATCCTGTAGGTTTTGGATCATTGTGTTTTTGTTGTCATTTGTCTCTAGGTATTCTTTGATTTTTTCAGTGATCTCTTGTTATTTAGTAATGTATTGTTTAGCCTCCATGTGTTTGTGTTTTTAATTTCTTTTCCCTGTAATTGATTTTTAATTTCATAGCGTTGTGCTCAGAAAAGATGCTTGATATGATTTCGATTTTCTTAAATTTACCGAGGCTTGATTTGTGACTCAAGGTGTGATCTATCCTGGAGAATGTTCTGTGTGCCCTTGAGAAGAAAGTGTAATCTGCTGTTTTTGGATAGAATGTCCTATAAATATCAATTAAATCTACCTGGTCTGTTGCATCATTTGAAGCTTGTGTTTCCTTATTAATTTTCTGTCTGGGTGATCCCTCCATTGGTGTAAGTGAGGTGTTAAAGTCCCCCACTTTTATTGTGTTACTGTCGATTTCCTCTTTTATAGCTGTTAGCAGTTGCCTTATGTATTGAGGAGCTCCTATGTTGGGTGCATATATATTTATAATTGTTATATCTTCTTCTTGGATTGATCCCTTGATCATTATGTAGTGTCCTTCCTTGTCTCTTGTAACATTCTTTATTTTAAAGTGTACTGTATCTGATATAAGTATTCCTACTCCAGCTTTCTTTTGATTTCCATTTGCATGGAATATCTTTTTCCATCCCCTCACTTTCAGTCTGTATGTGTCCCTAGGTCTGAAGTGGGTCTCTTGTAGACAGCATATATATGGGTCTTGTTTTTGTATCCATTCAGCGAGCCTGTGTCTTTTGGTTGGAGCATTTAATCCATTCACGTTTAAGATAATTATTGATATGTATGTTCCTAGTACCATTTTCTTAATTGTTATGGGGTTTTTTTTGTAGGTCCTTTTCTTCTCTTATGTTTCCCACTTAGAGAAGTTCCTTTAGCATTTGTTGTAGAGCTGGTTCGGTGGTGCTGAATTCTCTTAGATTTTGCTTGTCTGTAAAGCTTTTGATTTTTCCCTCGAATCTGAATGAGATCCTTGCTGGGTATAGTAATCTTGGTCATAGGTTCTTCCCTTTCACCACTTTAAATATATCATGCCACTCCCTTCTGGCTTGTAGAGTTTCTGCTGAGAAATCAGCTGTTAACCTTATGGGAGTTCCCTTGTATGTTATTTGTCATTTTTCCCTTGTTGCTTCCAATAATTTTTCTTTGTCTTTTATTTTTGTCAATTTGATTACTATGTGTCTCGTTGTGTTTCTCCTTGGGTTTACCCTGACTGGGACTCTTTGTGTTTGCTGGACTTGGGTAGCTATTTCCTTTCCCATGTTATGGAAGTTTTTGACTACAATCTCTTCAAATATTTTCTCGAGTCCTTTCTCCTCTCTTCCCCTTCTGAGACTCCTATAATGTGAATGTTGTTGCATTTAATGTTGTCCCAGAGGTCTCTCAGGCTGTATTCATTTCTTTTCATTCTTTTTTCTTTATTTTGTTCCATAGCAGTCAATTCCACCATTCTGTCTTCCTGGTCACTTATCCATTCTTCTGCCTCAGTTATTCTGCTATTGATTCCTTCTAGCGTATTTTTCATTTCAGTTATTGTATTGTTCATCTCTGTTTGTGCTTTAATTCTTCTAGGTGTTTGTTTTTTAATTCTTTAGGTCTTTGTTAAACATTTCTTGCATCTTCTCGATCTTTGCCTCCATTCTTTTTCTGAGGTCTTGGATCATCTTCACTATCATTATTCTGAATTCTTTTTCTGGAAGGTTGCCTATCTCCACTTCATTTAGTTGTTTTTCTGGGGTTTCATCTTGTTCCTTCATCTGGTATAAAGTCCTCTGCCTTTTCATTTTGTCTGTCTTTCTGTGAATGTGGTTTTCCTTCCACAGCCTGGAGAATTGTAGTTCTTCTTGCTTTTCAAGCATACTATTCTTTCTATTGTTTAAAAGGTTAAATATTGGGTAAAAGGGTTTGTTTGGAAGCTGATTATACAAAGTGGACTGTGACATTGCTACCAGGGTCCCTATTTTTCTAAGCTGTCCCCTATGCTGCAAGGTTGGAAGTCTGAAAACATTTCCCAAACTCCCTTGACAGCAGAGTTCCAGTTTGGTTTCTGCAAATGAAAGGCAGCTGCACACAGTTTGGAAAGCATGGGGGAAAGCATTGGAAAAGCCACTGTTCTCCTCTAGCACTACTCGAAGCAGATATGGTAGGGGGTCCCTGGAGAAAGAACCAGGCATGGCTTTCTTGACAGAAGCCATTTTTGGCCTAATCCATTTTGTGATCTAAGCCTGGCCACGATGCTTGCCCTTGAACAGGTCTCAGTAATTAATGATCTAAATGGAAGTGAGGGAATGTAAGAACAAAGGAAAAGCAGTCAAGAAACAATAGTTCAGCGATAAATCTAGTCCTAGTTCCTCCTCAAGGGATATACATAACAATCTGATACACGTCTTTGAGTTCTACAGGAAGTAAGACCCCCACCTAGGTGGAGGACAGCACGATGATGTTGACCCTCATGACTTCAATCAACTAAAGCTTGGACTCTATGGACCGTTGCCCCAATTCTATGCTGAATTCTCCTCTGCTCAAGCTCCTTCATGAATATGCACGTACCCTTAGCTTAAAACTTCCCCAATTTTGCTGTTCAAGGAGACACTGCTTTGGGAGAGAGCCCTGGTGTTCTTACTTGCTGCAAGTAACAAATCCCTCCTTCTCCTGTTCTTTGGCTTGGCTGTATCTTTTGGCTTAACACCTACCATGAGGCAAATCCAGTATCTGGGTAACACTACCAGGTAGATGAATGGGAAGATAGCAGATGAGACTTTTGTTAGGGCTTCAGGGAGAGTTCCTGTAAATCTCCCACTTCGGTGCTGCAGGAGTTGGTTTCCCTGTGATTTCTGAACTTCTGGATTTATTGAAAGCTGGCAACCTTCTACTCACCCCTACCTCTCCCTTCCAACAGTTCTGTAAGCATCTTCTTCCCCGTGTTAAATTCCTTCTTGCTTGCAATACCTAGAGTAGATTCTGCTTTCCTGACTGAATCCTGACTAAACTTAATGGGTAAAGTGCTAGGCATTCAATAATTATTAGCTCTTATTAGCTATCAATTAGGTCTAAGGGAATAGGGAAACTGAGAAGCATACCTATTTGCTTTCTTACCTCATCAGATTTTCTTTTTTCATTTTCCAGTTGTTTAAGTTGGGCCTCTTGTTGCTGAATTCTGGATTGTTGCTGAGAACTGGTCATTTCCAGTTGATTCTCTTTATCCTTTAAGATTTTCACTTGCTTTTGTAGCTCATTCATATTCTGATCTAGGAGTTTCCTGAGGGCAGTTAATGTACATTAAACCACACTGTGAATTGCAAAGCTCTGCAAAACAAACTCTTCGACCTAAAATTGTTATACTGGGCACAGGGGAATTTTTTTTGGTTCACTGAGGTAAGGTAGGTGTCCGTAAGATAAAGGGACCAACATCAAGGGAAACTCCTTTGTGACAGAAGCTTTTCTTAGTTTTCTCTCTCAATCCTGAAAACCACCCTATGAAGAATAAATAATTTTCCTTATTTACCAGAGGAAGTTGTGGCACAGAGAGGTTTAATTAACTTGCTCCAGGTCACACGGCTAGGAAAAGTTGGAGGTAGGGCTCTAATTCCAAATTCTTTATTCTTTCTTTCTTTTTTTTTTTTTGGCCACACCCAGGGATCAAACCCATGTCCCCTGCAGTGGAAGCGAGGAGTCTTAGCCACTGGACCCTCAGGGAAGTCCCGGGGATTCTATATTCTCTGTACTTGTTCTGAGTGCTTTATGAGTTGAATCCCATCATTTTCTTGCTTTCATATAGGGTTGTTAGTTACAAACACTATTGATACTAATGCACACGTGTTAACACTGCTGTAGCATTCTCCTTTACTCTTAAGATAAAGTAAAAATTCTTTTTTTGGACTTCGGGATCTTATTTCCCCAACCAAGGACTGAACCCAGCCGGGCTCTCAGCAGTGGGGGAATTCCTTTAATATGGTTTGTTAGCTAGCTTACCTTTCTAGCCTCATTTTCTTGCCACTTCCTCTACCCTCAAACATTTTGTTCCAGGCAAAATGCACTTTTTCACTTCCTGAAACAAGTCATTCTCCACACTTATTCCTCCTCTGCAACTCCAACCTTTTCGCTATCCTCCTCTTCCAGGCCTTCCTTTGCCTGATATTTTCCACTTAGTTTTCCCATAACAACTACTTGACTCTCAGCTTAAGTAGCTTTCTTTGAGGAAGGCTTTCTCGAGCTTCCTAGACCAAGTTAGGTCTCCCTGCTATGTGTTATCTGAGCATCCTAAACCTCCCTTAGTATAACACTTCTCATACTTCATTATAGTTACAAAGTCTTATGTGTCAGGATATTAATTATAAAATTATTTTAGGGACTTCCCTGGTGGCACAGTGGTTAAGTCTCCATGCTCCCAATGCAGGGGGTCCGGGTTTGATCCCTGGTCAGGGAACTAGATCCCACATGCATGCTGCAACTAAGAGTTTGCATGCCACAACTAAGAAGCTGGCAAGCTGCAACTAAGGAGCCCGCCTGCTGCAACCAAGACCCAGCGCAACCAAATAAATAAATAAAATATCAAAAAAATTATTTTATAACAGCAAAAAGTCTAAAAAACATTTAATATAAATTGTGATATATCTATGTAACAAAATGATATACAACTGTTTAAAATATTATGAAACTATAAATCCATAAAAGAAAGGTGGAAAAATCACAAAATATTTGGAGATTAAACAAACATACTTCTATCTAAACAATACGTGTGTTAAAGACAAATCTTAAAATTATTTTAAAGTACATGTAGTTTACATGAAAATGAAAATGCAACTTACAAAATTTGTGGGATCTGGCAAAAGCAGTGCTTGGAGAGAAACTTATAGCGTTAAATGCAAATATTATAAAAGAAGAAAGATTGAAAATCAATAATCTAAGCTTCTACTTTAGGAAACTAGCGAAAGAAGACTAATATAAGCCTAAATAAAGCAGAAGAAAAGAAATAATAAAGATTAGAGGAGAAATCAATAAAACTGAAAACAGGAAAACTGTAGAGAAAAACCAGAAAACCAAAGCTGGTTCTTTGAAAAACTCAATAAAATTGATAAACCTCTAGCCAGGCAGGCTGGAGAAGACACAAATCACTAATATCAGAAATGAAAGCAGGATCATCATCATCACTACTGATCCTATGGACATTAAAAGGACAATAGAGGGATAGTATGAACAAGTCTATGCCCACAAATTGGATAACAGATAAAATGGACCAATTCCTTGAAAGATGCAATCTACTGAAATTTACACAAGGAGAAATAGATAATCTGAACTGGCCTATATCTATTACAGAAATTGAATCAATACTTAATAGCCTTCCAAAAAATAAAGCACTAGGCCCGGATTCTACCAAATATTTAAGGAAGAAATGATACCAATTCTCTACAATCTCTTCCAGAAAAATTGAAGAAGAGGGGACACTTCCTAACTAATTCTATGAGGCCGGCATACCCTAAGAGCAAAACCAGATAAAGACACAAGAAAGGAAAACTATAGACCAATCTCACCCATAAACAAGTCCAAACTCCATAATGTGGCTAGTTAGGCTCAGCATGACCAAGCCTACCTTACCTTTCTAGCCTCTTTTTTTTTGCCACTTCCCTTATCCGCAAACATTTTTTTTCTAGCCAAAATGAATATTCCACTTCGCTGAAGAGAAGAAGATGATGATTTTGACAACAGTAACATCGAATATAGAAATAACAACAATAATAACACCTCGGTAGTAGTGGCTTTGTAAAATGTGTCAACTTGGGTAGGAATTCCTTCCATGTATGTTTCTGGTTAGAGTGGGCTACAAGAGATCTATTTGCTCAAGATTTGGAGGGTGGAAGTGAAGCAGTTTTACACTTGGAAAGTGAGAGCAGGTGCTTCTGCAGCTCATACTGTTGATGCTTATCTGCTGCTCACCGTGCGTGAGGTGACAGCTGGGTCTGCAACTGCTCCACCTCCCCTCTCATCCTCCTTCATCTTCTCGATCTCCTGGGCCAGGTCTTTGCAGCTCCTTGATGAGGGGGACCAGCTTCTCCCTACTTTATCAAGGTTGGAGGTAGTGAAACTGACCTGGGTTCCAGGCCAGCCTCTGCGGTTCAGCTTGTGCTCATGGGTTCCAGCTCTCCCTCACTTTATATCCATTTTCACTTCCTGACTGGTTGCCCTGAGGACTTTGAGTTCCAGCATAAGAAACAAAGATGACAGGCTTACAGACTGTGTAACCTGTTCCCACAACTGTATAAGACCGGCTCTCTGTAACAAATCTTTTATTATTGATAAATATATATGACTCCTACTGGTTTTACTTCTTTGTTTGAACCTGACTGATACAAGTGCTTAGTATGTGCCAGACACTGATACAAGCCAACTGCTATAACTCATCCAATCCACACACTGATGCTATGAGGTAGGCGTGGACAGGCACAGAGGATAAGAAACTTGCCCAAGGTGATGCAGCTACTAAGTGGCTAATAAGATGTCCATGTTATATTGTTAGGTTAAAAATGCAAATTCCAAAGCAATAGAGTAAAATGATTCAACTTAAAAGAAAATAAAACTAGAATAAAAAATATATGCATAAACATAGAAAAACATATGAGAAATACATAGCAACCACTTAAAGTGGTTATTGCTGAAGGGTAAAATTCTGAAGAACGTATGCCTTTTATTTTATATAGCTCTTCAATATTTGAAATTTTATGATAGGCAGTTATTATAATTATACTTGCTGGAATTTATCCCAAGGAAATAAAGGATATGCGTAAAAATTTGGCTAGGAGGTATATATTATGTTACTCTTTCCTATAGCAAGAAACTGAGAAAAATGTAGATGTCCAACAATAAAGGACTGAGTAAATAAATTATGGCATGTTATTAAAATAATGTTCTAGAAGAAGATTTAATGGCAGGTAAACAGATTATACTATTTTAAGTGAAAAAAGTAGATTACAACATAAATATCTAAATTGGGGTTGCTTTCTTCAGGTTACAAAGCAATGTGTACTAGATAGTCTCCTTTGTTGTGGAAAACAACTTCCCTCCATATTTCATTTTCCTATACTTAGTTCACATATTTCTTCTACATATTTCTTTTTCTTTTCTTATTAGTTATCCATTTTATACATATTAGTGTATATATGTCAATCCCAATCTCCCAATTCATCACACCACCACTTCCCACCACTTTCCCCCCTTGGTCTCCATATGTTTGTTCTCTACATCTGTGTCTCTATTTCTGCCCTGCAAACCGGTCCATCTGTACCATTTTTCTAGGTTCCACATATATGCATTAATATATGGTATTTGTTTTTCTCTTTCTGACTTACTTCACTCTGTATGACAGTCTCTAGATCCAACCACGTCTCTACAAATGACCCAATTTTGTTCCTTGTTATGGCTGAGTAATATTCCATTGTATATATGTACCACATCTTTATCCATCCGTCTGTCGATGGGTATTTAGGGTACATCCCTGACCTGGCTATTGTAAATAGTGCTGCAATGAACACTGGGGTGCATGTGTCTTTTTTTTTTTTTTTTTTTGCAGTATGCGGGCCTCTCACTGTTGTGGCCTCTCCCGTCGTGGAGCACAGGCTCCGGACGCGCAGGCTCAGCGGCCATGGCTCATGGGCCCAGCCGCTCCGCTGCATGTGGGATCTTCCCGGACCGTGGCACGAACCCGGGTCCCCTGCATCGGCAGGCGGACTCTCAACCACTGCACCACCAGGGAAGCCCTGTATCATCTTTAATTTCTTTCATCAGTGTCTTATAGTTTTCTGCATACAGGTCTTTTGTGCCCTTAGGTAGGTTTATTCCTAGGTATTTTATTCTTTTTGTTGTAATGGTAAATGGGATTGTTTCCTTAATTTCTCTTTCAGATTTTTCATCGTTAGTGTATAGGAATGCAACAGGTTTCTATGCATTAATTTTGTATCCTGCTACTTTACCAAATTCATTGATTAGCTCTAGTCATTTTTTAGTAGTGTCTTTAGGATTCTCTATGTATAGTATCATGTCATCTGCAAACAGTGACAGCTTTACTTCTTCTTTTCTGATTTTGATTCCTTTTATTTCTTGTTCTTCTCTGATTGCTGTGGCTAAAATTTCCAAAACTATGTTGAATAACAGAGGTGAGAGTGAGCAACCCTGTCTTCTTCCTGATCTTAGTGGAAATGGTTTCAGTTTTTCACCATTGAGAACGATGTTGGCTGTGGGTTTGTCATATATGGCCTTTATTATGTTGCAGTAAGTTCCCTTTATGCCTACTTTCTGGAAGGTTTTTATCATAAATTGGTGTTGAATTTTGTTGAAAGCTTTTTCTGCATCTATTGAGATGATCATGTGGTTTTTCTCCTTCAGTTTGTTAATATGGTTTATCACATTCATTGATTGGCATATATTGAAGAATCCTTGCATTCCTGGGATAAACCCCACTTGATCATGGTGTACGATACTTTTAATGTGTTGTTGGATTCTCTTTGCTAGTATTTTGTTGAGGATTTTTGCATCTATGTTCATCAGTGATATTGGCCTGTAGTTTTCTTTCTTTGTGACATCTTTGTCTGGTTTAGGTATCCGGGTGATGGTGGCCTCATAGAATGAGTTTGGGAGTGTTCTTCCCTCTGCTATATTTTGGAAGAGTTGGTGAAGGATAGGTGTTAGCTCTTCTCTAAATGTTTGATAGAATTAGCCTGTGAAGCCGTCTGATCCTGGGCTTTTGTTTGTTGGAAGATATTTAATCACAGTCTCAATTTCAATGCCTGTGATTGGTCTGGTTCCATCTCAGAAGGTTGTGCTTTTCTAAAAATTTGTCCATTTCTTCCTGGTTGTCCATTTTATTGGCATATAGTTGCTTGCAGTAATCTCTCATGATTCTGGGTATTTGTGCAGTGTGAGTTGTTACTTCTCCTTTTTCATTATTAATTCTATTGATTTGAGTCTTCTCCCTTTCTTGATGAGTCTGGCTAAAGGTTTATCAATTTTGTTTATCTTCTCAAAGAACCAATTTTAGTTTTATTGATCTTTGCTATTGTTTCCTTCCTTTCTTTTTCATTTATTTCTGATCTGATCGTTATGACTTCTTTCCTTCTGCTAACTTTGGGTTTTGTTTGTTTTTCTTTCACTATTTCCTTTAGGCATAAGGTTAGATTGTTTATTTGAGATTTTTCTTGTTTCTTGAGGTAGGCTTGTATTGCTATAAACTTCCTGCTTAGAACTGTTTTTGCTGCATCCCATAGGTTTTGGATCATTGCGTTTTTGTTGTAATTTCTCTCTAAGTATTTTTTGATTTCCCCTTTGATTTCTTCAGTGACCTCTTGGATATTAAGCAGTGTATTGTTTAGCCTCCATGTGTTTGTGTTTTTTATGTTTCTTTTTTCCCCTGTAACTGATTTCTAATCTCACAGCATTGTGGTCAGAAAAGATGCTTGATACGATTTCAATTTTCTTAAATTTACCAAGGCTTCATTTGTGACCCAAGATATGACCTTTCCTGGAGAATGTTCCATGTGCACTTGAGAAGAAACTGTAATCTGCTGTTTTTGGGTGGAATGTCCTATAAATATCAATTAAATCTATCTGGTCTATTGTGTCACTTAAAGCTCGTGTTTCCTTATTAATTTTCTGTCTGGGTGATCCATCCATTGGTGTAAGTGAGGTGTTAAAGCCCCCCACTATTATTGTGTTACTGTCGATTTCCTCTTTTATAGCTGTTAGCAGTTGCTTTATGTATTGAGGTGTTCCTATGTTGGGTGCATATATATTCATAATTGTTATATCTTCTTCTTGGATTGATCCCTTGATCATTATGTAGTGTCCTCCCTTGTCTCTTGTAACATTTTTTATTTTAAAGTCTATTTTATATGATATGAGTATTGCTACTCCAGCTTTCTTTTGATTTCCATTTGCATGGAATATCTTTTTCCATCCCCTCACTTTCAGTCTGTACGTGTTCCTAGGTCTGAAGTGGTTCTCTTGTAGACAGCATATATACGGGTCTTGTTTTTGTACCCATTCAGCGAGCCTGTGTCTTTTGGTTGGAGCATTTAATCCATTCATGTTTAAGGTAATTATTGATATGTATGTTCCTAGCACCATTTTCTTAATTGTTATGTTTTTTTTTTTTTTTTTGTAGGTCCTTTTCTTCTCTTATGTTTCCCACTTAGAGAAGTTCCTTTAGCATTTGTTGTAGAGCTGGTTTGGTGGTGCTGAATTCTCTTAGCTTTTGCTTGTTTGTAAAGCTTTTGATTTCTCTGTTGAATCTGAATGAGATCCTTGCTGGGTAGAGTAATCTTGGTCATAGGTTCTTCCCTTTCATCACTTTAAATATATCGTGCCACTCCCTTCTGGCTTGTAGAGTTGCTGCTGAGAAATCAGCTGTTAACCTTTTGGGAGTTCACTTGTATGTTATTTGTCGTTTTTCCCTTGTTGCTTCCAATAATTTTTCTTTGTCTTTAATTTTTGTCAATTTGATTACTAAGTGTCTCAGCATGTTTCTCCTTGGGTTTATCCTGCCTGGGACTCTCTGTGTTTGCTAGACTTGGGTAGCTATTTCCTTTCCCATGTTATGGAAGTTTTCGACTATAATCTCTTCAAATATTTTCTTGGGTCCTTTCTCTCTCTCTTCTCCTTCTGGGGTCCTTATACTGTGAATGTTGCTGTGTTTAATGTTGTCCCAGAGGTGTCTCAGGCTGTCTTCATTTCTTTGCATTTTTTTTTCTTTATTCTTTTCTGCAGCAGTGAATTCCACTCTTCCGTCTTCCAGGTCACTTATCCATTCTTCTGCCTCAGTTATTCTGCTATTGATTCCTTCTAGTGTATTTTTCATTTCATTTATTGTATTGTTCATCTCTGTTTGTTTTTTAATTCTTCTAGGTGTTTGTTCTTTAATTCTTCTAGGTCTTTGTTACACATTTCTTGCATCTTCTCGATCTTTGCCTCCATTCTTTTTCCGAGGTCCTGGATCATCTTCAGTATCATTATTCTGAATTCTTTTTCTGGAAGGTTGCCTTTCTCCACTTCATTTAGTTATTTTTCTGGGGTTTCATCTTGTTCCTTCATCTGGTACATAGCCTTCTGCCTTTTCATCTTGTCTGTCTTTCTGTGAATGTGTTTTTTGTTCCACAGGCTGCAGGACCGTAGTTCTTCTTGCTTCTGCTGTCTGCCCTCTGGTCTCTTCTATGTATTTCTTTTCATGCAATATTCACAAAAGATGTATAGAACCGGTATCACTATTCCTACTTCAAACATTAGAAACCAGGTTTCAGGAAAGTTAAATAGCCTTTTTCCTGTTCAATTCTTTGATTGCATCTTTTGTTTCTTCATAAACTTCACACAATTGTTTTAAAATCTAGTCTTCCTAATTCCAATTGGTGAACTTCTTGGGGATTATAAATCTGATGTTTGTTTTTTCTGCTGACTTTCATTCATGGTAACCAGTTTCCTTGTGTTATTTGGTGATTTTTGTTTGTAAGCTTATATTTGAGTAAACTGAATACATGGGAGTCCTTTAATATCTAAATTGAGGTTGCTTTCCCCCAGAGATAATTTGGATTTTCTTAGGAAGCAAGGGAGCTGCCTATTGAGGAAGACCTTACCTACTTCAAGATGCCCAACTCATATTTGAGTCTCTAGTTCAGCTGTCCTACCTTGTGGCAAACTACCTCAGCTTCTCTTAAGCCTGGGGCTGATAGTGTTATCTGCCCCTTGACTTATAAGGTTGTTTACCATTCATTATTTTTGTTTTGTCTCATTGTATGCTCGCCTTAGAGCTTTCTCTTGCTCTGTGAGCAGTGCTTTAAAAGGTATACTTATTGTAGTTTATTCAGGATCTAGTTGTATTAAAACAGGAGGAGGGTGTCATCCTGGTAGAAGCGGCAGTGAGACAAGTATTTTTCTATCGTTCCTAACTGAGTGAATTCATTATTCATTCAAACATTCATTTATTCATAACATATTTGCTGAGCACCTACTGAGTGCCAGGCTCTATGCTAGAGCTTTCAACTAGAGCTGAAAGTAAGTTTCTGAGCTTAACAGTTTATGTGAATATCTATATATCTTTTCAGTAGTTAGAACCATATTTTTCTTAAGACATACGTGAATCATTCTGAGTGCCATAGAAGTAAGAAGCATCAGTTACTGAAGTTTAGGATATACAAGAAGATGATTTAAGTAAGAATCCTAATAATAATCAAAGTACTTTTAGAAAAAAACATGACAGTTCCTACCCAGTAGCAGCTTATTAATGATTAAGATGCCTGTAAAGTACTTGGATCTTCTTTGAAGAAAATCAGCTGATAAATACAAAACACCAACCACATTCTAGTGTGCGTTTTGTGCCAATTATGTTAGAGTTAGAAAAGCAAATCCCAGGGTATCATATTTCATAGGCAATCCATTCATTCAAGAAGATTTACTGGTACACCAAGTGTGTTCCAGAACAAGAAATAATCCCTGACCTTGAGAATTCCACACTCTAGTATGAAAGACAAGCAAGAAAATAAGCAATTAGAATGCAGTGTGCTATGTATATATCAATATATGAAGTTTTTGCCTGAGTTTACTTCAATGGAGACAAAGAGGAAACGCAGTGGTAAACTGATGCTGCTCATAAACTCAGCCCTTGGAAAAATGACGTCTTTGCTCCTCTTACCTCTTCTGTTGTTCTTCCTGATATTGTTGCTTTATTTTAGCTTCATTTTCTATTGCTTCTTTTATCTTTTCCTCTAATTGCTTCCTCCCCAAAATACAAGTGTCTGTGAGACAGACTCTATGAGCATGTTCTAATTTCTGCTGCAGATCCAAAATCTGAAATGAAAAGAGTTTACACATAAGACTTTGAGTGTGACCTATTTTCCAATTAGGGAAATACCATATAAATCACAAGCAGTAGTGCTAACACAAAAATCTCAGCTAAAGAGTGTGACTAGATTTATTTTAATTTTAGAATTAAATTACTTAATTTTTGCAATATGTAATACATTCATATAATTTAGTGTATGTGGGTAAACTAAGCTAGAGTGACAAGTCCCTTTCCCATCCTTATCCTGTCTTCCTTCCAGTTTCCTCCACCAAATAGGTCATCACTGGTATTAATTTCTTATGTACTCTTCCAGAGATTTATTTATGCATATTTAAATAAATACTATTCTCCCTCATACAAAATTTTTTTTTGTTTTTGTGGTACGCGGGCCTCTCACTGTCGTGGCCTCTCCCGCTGCAGAGCACAGGCTCCGGACGCGCAGGCTCAGTGGCCATGGCTCACGGGCACAGCCGCTCCGTGGCATGTGGGATCTTCCCGGACCGGGGCACGAACCCGTGTCCCCTGCATCAGCAGGCGGACTCTCAACCACTGCGCCACCAGGGAAGCCCCATACAAACATTTTTTACACACATGATGGTATATTACATGTACTTATGCACCTTGCTTTTTTTATAGCAGTACACTCGGTGATTTTTCCATATTATATATAATATATAGAATTGTCTTCTCTTTTACAGCTGCATACCATTCCACTGTAAGGATATACCATAATATATTTAACTAGCCCCCTACTGATGGACATTAAGTTGATTCCAATCTTTTACTATTACAAACAATACTATTACAAACAATGTTTTTAGAATAACTTATGAGATGTGTGTTTTGCTAGGGCAAAGGTTATTATTATTTGTTTGTTTGTTTAACAGATAATGCCAAACTGTCTCCATAGGTTTTAGACCAATTTACACCTCTAACAGCAACATGTGAGAGTGTCTAGTTTCTCCATGGTGTGGCTAGATTCACAAATAAGTATCTCAAAACAAAATAGAAGTCTCTTACAAACCAAGTACCTATTGGCATACTGCCTAGCACCAGTAGTGCATTCTTTTTTCTTTTTAAAAAATATTTATTTATTTGGCTGCATCGGGTCTTAGTTGGCAGCACTCGGGATCTTGGTTGAGGCATGCGGGACATTTTGTTGTGGCTCTCGGGCTTCTCTCTAGTTGTGGTGTGTGAGTCTTCTCTACTTGTGGCATGTGGGCTCCAGGGCGCATGGGCTCTGTAGTTGTGGCATGCAGGCTCTCTAGTTGAGGCGCGTGAGATCAGTAGTTGTGGCATGTGGGCTTAGCTGCCCCACGGCATGTGAGATCTTAGTTCCCCGACCAGGGATTGAACCTGCATCCCGTGCATTGGAAGGCAGATTCTTTAGCACTGGATCACCAGGGAAGTCCCAGTAGTGCATTCTTTAATGCTCTGGTAGAACTAAGAATAAGATTTATGAATTTGAAAGAGAGATATATGATTTTATTTTAGAATTTACATGTTAGACAAAAAGTGTCATTAAAATTTTCTCATTAGATCTCCTTTAATTCGTTTACATATTTTTTATAAACCCTTATGTCACCTAAAATTGTGACTAGTATGTAGTAGGTGCTTAGTAAATATTTGGCAGATGTATAGTTCTCAGCGGAATTGCTGTTCTCCCTCTACTGTATTCCTGATGCAACAACAAATCCTTTACAATGGTCTGGCACCATGTTCCCCACAGACATTCAGTGGATGCCAGTGAATGGCAGTCCTCTTCTAAGAGAAGGGCTTTCTGCATTAGCCCTAGGTCTCTGCAGAGCCCACTCACCATAGGAGAGGTGAAGATGTAGAATGATTCACGGGCAATGGCAGTGGGCAGCCAGTTAGCTGAGGCCAGCTCAAGTTCCTTTGAGCTGCCCCATTTAGTTCTGCCTAGGGCAAATGCTTCCTTAAAGATAGCCAATCTTAATTCCACAGGTGAAAGTATTGCTCCATTGGCTTCTCTGTCAAGGGCAAATGACAAACTTTTGAACCCACCACCCAATTTAAGAAACAGAACATTTCCAATACGTTTGAAGTCTACTCTGTGACCCTCTTTGATCACTCCCCTTCCCTCCTCACCTGAGAAAACCAATATCTTGAATTTTGTGTTAATCATTTTCTTGCTTTTTCTTTTAATAATATGTATTTCTGTATGACTCAGTTGTTATTTTGTACTATGTTCACCACCACATTAATGGAATCATACTGTGTTTTTGGTGATTTGGTATTTATTCAATATTGTATTACTACAGCAAGTACCTAGAGTTCATTCATTTTCACTGTTGTATGTATGCTATTGTGTAAATATGCAGTTTACCTCTTCCATCTCATGTCAGTGAACATTTGGGCTGTTTGCAACTTTCTGCTGTTTGGAACAATGTCACTATGAAAATGACTGTATTCCCGTATACTGATATATATGCTCAGTAGAATAGTTTCCCTAGTGTTTATGCCTAGCAGAAGTGTTGGGTTGTGCAGTATATACATCTTTAACTTAACTAGATCTAATGCCAAATTGATTTCTGAAGTGTTTATACTAGTTTACTCTTCCAGCTGCAGTCAGAATATGCATTCCTGTTGCACAAAATCCAGTAACAATATTTAGTATGTCTAAATTTAAAAATTTTACTAATCTTTATCAATTTTACCAATTACTTTTTTTAAAAGTAATAACATACATATGATAAAGTACACATATCTTACATACTCAGTGAAGTTTTACTTATATAACCAACTCTTCCAGACCAAGATAAAGAATACTTCCAGCACCACAGAAGATTCCCTCATGTCCCCTTCCATGCCCCTCATAAAGACGTTATCCTATCACCACGGCTTAGTTTTGTCTATTCTTGAATCTCATATAAGGAAAATTACATAGTATGAACTCTTTTGTGCTGGCTTCTTTAGCTCAACATTGGGTTTTTGAGTTTAAGCCATATTGCTATCATCTAATTTTGATGTTTGTTTTATATTTATGTGGTTGGATGAAATATTTTTTATGTAAGATTTGACTCTCAAACCCACAGATCAAAACGTGCAAGTGTGACATACTACTGCCACCTGGTGTCAGGCAGCCTAAAATGCAGGGGTGATATTTCAAAATGGTTCATTTCACAACACTCATCCCTCCAAAAGTTACAAAATAAAAATCAAATAAATGGGCAATCCAAATGAGAGGAGAATAAGTCCTTTAAAAGTTGACTTAATAATACAAAGTATAAATAATATAAAGTCCTTTGGTCTCAATTCTTTAAGTTCATGTTATAGCTTTAATGAAATTTACCTTTTTGAGTTCATGTAGTCTTCAAAAACACAAGATTTACTGGAACCATAGGAGCAGGTGACGTCAAAAGAGGAAAGCAGGGGAGAGTGAAAAACCCCCTAGAATTCTATCAGGTTTGCACTGTATCTATTTTTTAAAATCCTTAGGGAAACAGGATTTCAGTAGTAGTATCCAGTGCATGTTATTTATTAAGTGTGAGGATAATTACCTTTTCCTCTGCAACAGCAACTCGAGATTTCTCCTGAGCTAGCTTTTCCTGTAGGTTGTTCTGTGATTTAACGCTCTGAGCCTGTTTAAGTACTTCCAGCTCCAGTTCCTTGATTTTCTGCTGACAGTGCTTCCACTCAGCCGTGAGTGAAGAGCACATCTTTGCGCTGTCTAATAACTTCTGCTGGGCCTGCTTGAGTTCAATTTTGATCTAGAGGTGGGGAATAAATAAAAGTGACAAAAATAAGCATGGAATGAATGTGAATGTGAGTTAGAATAAGCAGCTTTCAAGAAAGTGTAGTCCCCCAAGAGCTGACAAATACCAATGTCATGTGGCTGATTACCTCTCTGGAGCTGCTCTGTGTTAGTAGGGTTTGCCAAAGTCTATCCAGCCAGACGGCAGCTGGACAAAGGAATTTACTTAAGGGTTTCTACACATGCATGGTCTAAAGAGTTTCCATCATTTTTTTTTTTTCCAGTCTACTCCAAGCCAGCTTCCATTCCCACTACTTCAGTAGTGCCAAGAGCACTACTGACCTTCCCTGGCCAGAATTTAAGTCCAGTGGACAACTGACCTGTTAGTAGCAGTTACTCCATCCATCTCAGAAAGTTCTCCTCTCTTGGAGTCTGTGATACCCACCTCTCCTAGTTTTCACTTACCTCTGCTGTTGCTTCTTGGTTTATTTTGTAGACTATTCTAGTGCACTCAACTTCTAAACATTATTGGACTATTCTAGGCCTTCCTAGAGAGTGAATCATTCTCTCTCTAGGTTCATTCTCATGATTTAAAAATACCACTTTTATGCCAATACATGTCAAAATGGAACTCCTTGATTCTGCTTATACCTCCAAAAGCGTTCTTCTCTCCATCTTTCTGATTTCAGTAAAGGAGGCCAACATCCAACCTTTTGTTCAGGCCAGTGACCTGAGAGCCATCCTTGAGCCTTCCTTTGCCATAGTGAGCCTATTCAGCACATGCTGTCACTCTACCTCTACAACACATCTTGCATCAATCCATTTTCGTCATTTCCATCACCACCCTTGCTAGGTCATCATCATCTCTATCCTGGGCCATAGCAGTAGCACTGGTCATGCCACTTCCATTTTTACTCCCTTCTAATCTATTCTCCACACTGCAGCCAAAGTGTTCTTTTAAAAACATAAATTGAACTACTTGACCCCCGCTCCTGCTTAAATTTTTCAGTGGCTTCCGCAACACTCTGAGAACATATCCCACCAGCTTGCCTGGCCTTGAATGATGTGGCCTTTGCCAGATTAAGATCATCCCGTTAATCCCCCTTCTTCCACTGATCTCCTGTCCCACCGGTTTCTATTTGGATTTTATAATGAATAGAAGAAGAAACAAAGAAACTAAAGAAAAGAAGAAACTGAGTGTTGGAATATTTGGTGCATTGGATTGGTTCAGGATTATGAAACTTAAACTTATTATAAATAGAAAGGGCATATAGGTTTCATAATATATTATCCACATACTCCATAGGCCAAGAAAGCTAAAGGCCTCTGAGATCTATGGTCATTGGTCTTAGAGACAATGCTCAGCATTTTGGTAACGCTGGTAATGATGAAATAAGATGACAACACTGGAGCAAACACTGTTCTGGCCAACAACATGTGCGTCTAGGGTGGCTTCTTAAGCTTCAGATTGGGACATTTAAGCACCAGGAAGAGGATTCAGTACAGTGTCTCAGTATTGGTGGTGGCAGAACCGCTCTCAGCCTGAAGCTCTGCAAGCCTACAGCATTCTTCTTGATATACCCAACGTGGAAACAGGCAATATGGCCATAAACCACAGAAATAATAAATAAATTATGGCATTTCCTCACAGTGGAATACTCTACAGCAAAGAAAATGAATGAACAATGGCTATACACCACAACATGGATGAATCTTCCAAACAAAGTAGATCATCAGAAGACAGATACAAGGTGTGTATACTGATTGATTATATTTATAAAATATTCAAAAGCAGGCAAAACTGAACCATACTGTGTGGAATTCATACACAGATGGTAAAACTATAAAGTAAATCAAGAGAGTAATTACTTAAATTAGTGGTTCCTGCTAAGATGGAAGGAAATGGGATTATGGTGGGAAAGAGGTATGCAGGGGCTGCTGGTATGCAGGCAATGTGCTATTTCTTGTCCTGGGTGGTGGTTACATGGGTAGTCACTTTGCAACAATTCATTAAACTGTATATTTATGTTTTGTGTACTTCCTGAGTGCTATATTTTACAATAAAAAGGTTTAAAAGCAACAAATAAGTATTCTGGTTTCTTTCTTTTTTTTTTTTAATTATTATTATTATTTTTTTGCTGTACGCGGGCCTCTCACTGTTGTGGCCTCTCCCGTTGTGGAGCACAGGCTCCAGACGCACAGGCTCAGTGGCCATGGCTCACGGGCCCAGCCGTTCCGCGGCATGTGGGATCTTCGTGGACCGGGGCACGAACCTGCGTCCCCTGCATCGGCAGGTGGACTCTCAACCACTGTGCCACCAGGGAAGCCCAGTATTCTGGTTTCTTAACCAGTCTTACAAGTATGCCTAACGTTAGCCAGAGACCCAGAGTTCAATTATCTCTGAGTGCATTTTAAAAAGTAACCTCTAAATTGGCAAAGCTGAGGTTCGAAAATGATCCCAAATTGAGGAAAGGGATAATACAGAAAGATAACTCTACACAGGAAAGACAAAAACAGACCTGGGTTTAAATTCTGACTCCACAATTTGGTAGCTTTGTCACTTGAACAGTTTTTTATATATGTATATATATATATATATTTATTTTCTTTATTTTTTTAGTTTTTTGGCTGTGTTGGATCTTAGTTGCAGCATGCAGGATCTTTGTTGAGGCATGCGGGATCTTTCGTTGCGGCTTCTCTGTAGTTGTGGCGTGCGGGTTTTCTCTCTCTAGCTGTGGTACGCAGGCACCGGAGCGCGTGGCCTCTGTAATTTGTGGCACACGGGTTCTCTTGTTGAGGTGCGCGAGCTGAGCAGTTGTGGTGCGCGGGCTTTAGTTATCCCGCGGCGTGTGGGATCTTAGTTCCCCGATCTGGGATCAAACCCGCGTCCCCGGCATTGGAAGGCAGATTCTTTACCACTAGAACCACCAGGGAAGTCCCCTGAACAGTTTTCTCACCTATAAAATGTTTACCTTTCAGGGTTGGGAGGTTTCTAAGGGATGAAGTGGACAAACTGTCACTACAAGGTAGTTGGCTATTGCGTATGACTCTGCGTAAATGCCTGGCCCAAGGGACCAGCCAAAAGAATGATGTCTCATTACTGAAATGGCAAATAATTTACCCCACCATGAAGGAGATTTAAAACAGAACAAAAAATATCTTCTCTTTTTATCAAGCTCTCATTTACCCATCCCTGAAGGACTCGTTCATTAATCAACAAATATTTATAGGGTGCCAACCATATATAAGATGTCATGATCTGTTGTTATTGTCATTGTGCCTTGACAAAGATGTAGTATTGCTAGTGTACGCTCACAGTGGACAGTTAAAATGGTCTAAGAACGGTGTTTGAAGGGAAAGGTAAAAGGTTGTCTTGAAATGTGAGAAAGATTTGGAATTTAATTTAAAACTACAAAGGCTTGGGGCTTCCCTAGTGGCGCAGTAGTTAAGAATCCGCCTGCCAATGCAGGGGACACGGGTTGGAGCCCTGGTCCGGGAAGATCCCACATGCTGCGGAGCAACTAAGCCAGTGCGCCACAACTACTGAGCCTGTGCTCTAGAGCCCACGAGCCACAACTACTGAGCCTGCGAGCCACAACTATGGAAGCCCGCACGCCTAGAGCCCGTGTTCTGCAACAAGAGAAGCCACCGCAATGAGAAGCCTACACACCGCAATGAAGAGTAGCCCCCACTCACTGCAACTAGAGAAAGCCTGCGCACAGCAACGAGGACCCAACACAGCCAAAAATAAAAAAATATAAATTTATTTAAAAAATTACAAAGGCTTGAGGGAATATGATCAAATTCAAAAAACCATGAAGGGTGAGGATAGGGAAGAAGTTTATCCAAATAATCCTAGAACTCCCAAAAGGGCTTCCTTTGAAGTTGGAAATAAATGACTGTTTTCCTCCATATCTCCCCTACTAGACTGTGAGCTCCTTAAAAGTAGGGACCTTTCTTAATCCATTTTTATGTCGCTTTTTGAATAAGGTCATTGATCCTGCTACACTAGGGGTGGCAAACTTTTCATATAAAGGGCCAGAGAGTAAATATTTTAGCCTTTGTGGGCCATATGGTCTCTGTCAGAACTACTCATATCTGCTTTGGTAGTGCAAAAGCAGCCGTCAATAATATGTCAACAAACAGGTATGGCTGCGTGCCAATAAAACTTTATTTACAAAAATGGAAGGCAGGCAGGATTTGACCCATAGGTCAAAGTTTGCTGACCCCTGCACTAGGGGATGAGAACTGTGTCTGTTTTGCATATCATTAAACCCTCAGTATTGACAAGATGGCCTGTCTTGTGTTGGACTGATGCTCAATAAATATTTGTTGAATGTTGAATTCCAGAATCTTAGATAGGGGCTTATATTAGGTTCCTAGTATATGTTTACAGAAGCGAACCACAATTAAAAGAAAGTTCTATTTTACATGGTGGTTCAGTTTGAACATTTTTGTGGTTCATAAAACTTACTCTTTTTTTTGGCTTCACTGTGTGGCATGCGGGATCTTAGTTCCCCGACCAGGGATTGAACCCATGCCCCCTGCAGTGGAAGCATGAAGTCTTAACCACTGGACCGCCAGGGAAGTCCCCTGTGTTTCATAAAATTTAGATGAATCTGTGGATGGCAGTTCTATATAGATTATTTTAAAACAAGCATGTTTGGGGGATGTTCCCCCAAATTTCTGATGCACTCATGTCAGGAAGAACAACTTTGCTCTCTCATGATTTGTACCTTGGTGCAGTTGATATTTGATTCAACCAATAATAATGAATGCATCTATTAGAGACAAATACATCCAGAGATAGAACTAGGGCAGTACCACCAGTGATTTAGTTCAGGTCATCGAAATTTACTAAGTGCTAAAAGGTCTAGGTAATGATTTCAAAAGACTGCGTAACTTAAACCTTTTCATATTTACAGGTTGACAGCACACACAGCCTTTCAGCAGCAGAGAAACCATTGAGCTGTGTACCTACTCGGTAGGGAGAAGTTAAAGGAGGGAGTTACCAGATAGCTCACATTGTTTACCCATCTGGGGACTCTGTCGTGAAGTATCAAGTTGAGGAATTCTGATTCCTTTATTCCCAGGGTAAATTGAGCAATCGAGACTCTTAAATGAAGGATACGCCCACTGGAGTTACCTTAATGCTTTCTTCCTGAAGTAAGCTGTTATGCTGCTTTAAGTCCAAGTTCTTTCCTCGCTCATATCGAAGCTCCTTTTCTGCTGAGTTGCATAGAATCTGGAGCCGGTGCAAATTCTGGCGAAGTTGCTGTAGCTCCTCTTGCTGCTGGTATTTCCGTTTTTCTCCAGATGATGGATTCTAAAGCAAATGTTTTACAAGGGGAACATGGACAATTTGAAAGAATGTTGGTAAAACATGGGTTCCAGCTGTCAGAATGTGATTATTCACATGTAAATGCTTTTGGAGTCAGCTTAACTACAGCCAATTACTCTTTTACATGTATGGCTAGTTGTACATGTTCATATAGTTTAACTCCTGTTATATTAGAGTGAAAATATTGAAGAAGTTATGCGAACAAGAGTAATTAAGCATAGAAAATTAACTTTCTTATTTTTCATATTAATGAAGTGGAACAGAAGCGTGGGCAGTTTTAGAGCAAAACGTGCTTTAAATAGGGAGTTCAAAGAGTCAACATATTAAGATGCAGTGTGTGGACGTGTATGTGGGTTGCGTGTGCGCACGCGCGCATAATGTCTGTTGGCAAAAGGGAAGAGAACATTTAGCGAGAGATACTAAATTACCAGGTTTCCTCATCACTTTCCTTTCACTCCCCAATGATTCTCCTTCGGTTACTCCTCAACAACGCACTCTTCTGCCAGGTCTCTCTGGCACAATAAAACTCACATGACCAAAGGAGGAGTTATTTAGATTTTCTGAAAGGTAGGCACACACAGCCATGCTGAGTAGACAAAGAATTCAACCTTCTCCAGTTCAACAGATAAGATACTGTCTGTTTCCTGAATCCTGGTCCAGTGTGCTTCCTGTTCATGACGTTCTGAAAAGCCCATGTCATTATTCTAGTTTATCTTGCTTATAAAAGAACTGCCACACTGAATTCCCCAAGTCCTGTTAGCCCTTCAGTTCCTGTCTTGGTTTAGTCAGAAAGGCAATCTAGATCCAATTTGCTTGTCTTAAGAGCTGCAAGTATCTAAGATCCCTGGTTAGCTCGCTATGGGTAAATGCACGGTTCATCTACACATGTTCAAGTGATATTTATTCATTATTACAGAAGAATACCTAATTGACATATTCTGATTTTACCCAATAGTCTTGAAAGTTTGGTTTAATGTAAATGTATTCCCAAGACTCAGATCTATTTTGGGCGGGGGGGCCATTACATCAAAGTTTTGGAGACTGCAAGCCTAAGGGCAAATCACAGATAAATTCACCAAGATAATCTAAGACAGACACCCTGGGAGGGCTTTTGGGAGCCAGCTTGCCAGCCTTCCTTAGAAAATTAGCTTGACGTGAGGACTATATGCTTTCTTTGAGCTTCTCAGCAAGTGGAAGCAGATGACAAAACTGTTAAAGGGTCAGGCTGTAAAGGAGACAGACCAGGTTCCACCACAAAGTGTCATTCTAGGCCAATTATTTAACCTCTCTAAAGCCTCAGTTTCTTCATCTATAAAGTGGCAACAATAATATTTCTGCCTCATTGTATTGCTTAATATACACAGAGTATTAAGTATAGTGCCTAGAGCATAGTAAAAAAATGTGAAACTACATTTTCAACCTATAAAATTAAGATAATTAATGGTGGTTCAAATATGTTTCAAGAATAGTGGGAAAATAATATCTAGAACTCAGCTACTGCAACCTCACCAGGAATACTGTTGAACAGCAGAAATTAAGCCCCGAAAGGCCATCAGCAGCCACAAATGATGTCACAAAACACATATGAACAATATAGCTCACATAGTTACTCATAATAGAGGCTCTCACAGTTTTTTCCCTATATATTTGCCATTTATGAGCATTCTTTAAAATTTGGTGTCTGGGCTCAGCCTATAGCTACCTAAATTTGCACATTATGAGATTAATAAGACATAGTACACATGGAAAGCAGCAAAGTATTAGCACCATAATCTGACAACAACAGGGGTGAAGACTAAAAACTACACACACACAAGAACTAAAAAGTAGGACAATCTATAGCTATCAGAAGGTTTTGAACCCTATACACAGAAAGAGGTCCTGAAATTATCACTGCACAGCACACTGCAGACAAAAATCTGTCTAAAATGTATTTTCTTCCTTGCTTGCTTAAACAAGTAAATGAAATAGTGTGTGTGAGTGTTTTGGGAAATGTGAATCCAAATAACACAAATATGTTATTTTTTCCCATGCGGCCCATGTCTACCTCATTTACTGCTGTATGTACCTTAACACAGGGCCTGGCACATCATAGATACACAATTAATGGGAATTCCCTGGCGGTCCAGTGGTTAGGACTCTGTGCTACCACTGCAGGGGGCATGGGTTCGATCCCTGGTCAAGGGACTAAGATCCCTGGTTGGGGAACTAAGATCTCACATGCTGTGTGGCATGGCCAAAAAAAAAAAAAAAAATTGATACTCAATTAATAATTAATACTGGTTGAATAAATGAATAAGAATAACACACTTCTTTCAATAATTCAAAGTCATTATTATGGAAAAAAATTACTGGCTATGTGGTATATACATTTGTTCTTTCACAAAATGGCTATTTTCCCAGATTTCCCAGAGAGTTTTTATATATTTAATAGTTTTTCACCTCCCCCCAAGTGCTGAGAAATGATTCTTCAAATAATGGGAAAGGGTAAATTAGAGAAAATTAATAAATTAACCAGGGTGTGACTTCTTATACTGTAAATTTCATTATTCTAAAAGTTCACTGATTACTTTAAGCTCATAAGCAAAGATTTTATCATCTTTGTGACCACAGTGTTCAGCCTCTGCCCAAGCCTCCTACACTGGCCCACTGCCCAATAAAGGGATTGCCTGGGATATGTAACATCAACCTCTTTTTGAATATGTGATGTCATACTTCCTTTTGGTCTTCTGAACAAATCCAGTGACTTCCTTCTCATTCCAATGTATCTGAATCTCCTGTCAGGTATATATTTTCCTTGTTTATTATGACTTGCCTAGTTTTCACTCTATCCAAACCTCTTTTCAAATATATTTTGACTTCTTTTACTAATAGTCTTCCTTGTTTTCTAAATGTACACTTCTCAAATGTCTATTATCAGTCTTCTGAATGTGGTTTACATATGAGTACAAAGCCTCCCTCTATGGATCTCAAAATAATTCCTAGAAAAGTGTGTGTAGGGAAATCTTAATTTGTACAAGAGGGAACCAATAAAATTGAGGTAAAAGAACTGAGGTGTAGTCACTCCTTTTATTTCTCCTGCAGGCACATTTCTAGTAAATAGCAATAGCCATATTTAAAACAATTCCAAGTCTGCGGCCTTTTCCCCCGCAAAAAATGTATTTTGTATATTGAGGCTAGGTACCAGGAACAGAAAATGTGGCACAAATCCCGCCATTCTCTGTCCCACCTGCCCAGGGCAGACACTGACAATCAATCAGCATTCCTTCCTGCTGAGCCTAGAAGAAGCCTAAGAACACTTTATAATAAAATGTATCAACTGATGGGCTTAGCTGAGATTTTGATTGCTACTTTATTAACATTCGGGCCATGGTTATGATATTGCTCAACAAATATACGTTAATAGTGATATAAAAATTAAGCCTCTAACCACAGCTGATCAGAGGAAATGGAGCCAGTCAGACCACGTGTTTATATAACACCTACCTGGACGCTACTGTCATCTGAGCTATCCCCAGAGCTCTGAAACTGAAGGAGGCTCTGATTCATACACCTCAGCCCTTCTCTGAGCCTCACGACTTCCTCAGGCTTCAAGGTCAACTGCTGTTCTTCACCTTTCATATCTTGTTTCTGCTGCGAGTCCTCCTCCTTCTGTCCCTCTCTTGGAAAAGTGCCCTCCTTTACTGCCTCCTCTGGAATTTCCTTCTGCTTACTTTCTCCTAATTCAGGACTTAGCACAAATATAATAACAAAAGACTATCAAAATGCTCATTATACTAGCAGAATATGGAGGGAAAATATCTACCAGTAAAGAAAGTGCTGTGAGCAAGATTTTCAACTTGAATTCTATAGCAGAGCAGTTATCTTATTCTTGGAAATAAACTTTAAAAACAAATGAGTCATATCATTTTTACTCATATTCAGGGAAATGACCCATCATAGATTTTTGTCTACAGGTATAGACAAACAACCAGTTTAAGTGAGTTTTTCACTTTTTCAAGTTTTAGTATGGCATTGGGCAGATACACCTTATAAAGATTTTTAAAAAATCACTCAATAAGCACCAGGCACTTTGGCAGGCACTAGGGTTACAATAGGACATAATCCCTGTCCCTAAGGAGCTTACAATTTAGTGAAAAATAAGGATAAGTTAACAAGTGATTATATTAAGTTAGTAGTAAGTAATCTGAGGCCTGATGGATGAGTACGCACAAGCTAGGCGAACGTAAAGGTAGGGATGTGTGCATACTTGCTTGTGTGTGTATATGTTGGAGGGTGGGTTGTTGGATGACTTAATAAATAAGATGGGTAAAAGCCCAGAGGCAAAAGAGAGAGTGTGCTTTAGAAACATCATTTGTAATCTGTGTGGCAGGGAAACCAGTTGAGAGATTGTTGTGATCTGCGTACTAAACAACAGTGACTAGAATAGGATGGTGGGGATGGAAAGGAGGAATGGATTCTAGAGATATTTAGAAGACAATATTGATAGGATCTGTCATTTGCAGGACGTGGCAGGTGAGGGAGAAAAAGGAATAATGAGTGACACCTGGATTTCTGACGGGGGCAAATGGGCAAGTGGATGGTAGCCCAAGAAGGGGGAATATAGGTATAGACTGGAGACATGCCTGGGGTGAAGACACAGATACAGAGGAATGTGAGCAGAAACCTTAGGATTAGATAAGATGAGCCAGGGAGAAGCGGGAAAGTAAGAGGAGGAGGATCATTCTGGACAGAAGTCTAAAGACTTGTGAGGAACAAGCAGAGGGAAGAGGCCTGAAGAGGAGACTCAGAAGCCAGAGAGGGAGGAGGAAAACTAAAAGGCTGTGAGCCATAGAAGCCAAGGGGAGGGAATGTACCTTTCACAGTTAGAGAGTATGAATGAAAAGTAGAGTGAACACAAGTATGCTTATTTTATTTTTATTCCCTTAATCTTAAATTTGTTTCAGGTACTGTGGGGCCTAGCACAGGATGCTTCACAAATTATA